ACCGATCACAGACGGTCCCAGGCCCGAGCGGCCCCGGGCCCCACTTCTCGACGCACTTGCCCTCCTTGTAGCGCCCCGGCAGGCCGCACTGGCGGCAGATGCGCTGGTTCGCGGCGTTCGTCGCGGGGAACGGCGTCTGCACGACGCGTCAGCACGATGGACGGGAGGGAGAACGGGCGGGCTGCGGAGCAGAAAAGCAGCCAGCACGAAGTCGAAACACTCACCGGCGCCGCCTGCCCCACCACCACCGGCACCTGCGCCTGCGTCTGCGCCACCCCCACCTGCGCGGTCGTGTGCCCGGGCGACGGCGGGTACGCGTACGCGTGCATATCTGTCGGCGGCGCGTCAGTCTCGTCGTCACATTCATCACATTCACAACTCGGACTCGGACTCGAGAAAAGAGTCCCGTCCAAAGAAAGACGGCAGAGAAAGCAAAACAGAGGGAGAAAGACGCACCCTTCCCCTTCCCCGCCTTCCCCACATACACGCCCGCGCCGTACCCCTCCCGCGCCCCACTCGCGCCGCCGCCGCCGCCCACACCACCCAGACCACCCACACCCGCCCCCACCGCCCCCCGCTCCAGCGCCGTCGACGTGCGCCACTCCGGCGACCTCTGCACCTGCCCATGCCCGTGCGCAGCGGAAGCGTGGGCGGACGCGTGCGCCGCATGCGCGCGCGGCGACCCGTTCGCGCTCGCGAGGAGCATCTCGTCGACGTCGTCCGACGCCGTGCTCGGGCTCCGCTCCCTCCCCCCTCCCTCTCTCCCTCCTTCTCTCCCATCCCTGCCTCGCCCCCCTCCTTCCCTCCCGTCCCTCCCATCTCTGCCTCCTCCGTCGCGGCCATCGCGCTCCCGCCCGTCGCGCGACCGCGAATGCGAGTGCGAATGCGAGTGCCCGTGCGAATGGGCGTGGGCGTGGTGCCCGTGCAGCGCCTGCGCGGGGAGCGTGTGCGTGCGGCGCGGCGGCGCGCCCCCGCCCGCGGACGAGGCGGGCAGCGAGGCCGTCCCGGCGGTGGTGGGGTTGGGGTTGGTGGGGTTGTAGCGCGCGTACGCGAAGGGCGCGTGGTGGTACTGCTCCCATCCGTCAGCATCGCCCTTTCACCCCACAGATACGCGCAGGGAAAGGAAGGGAAGGAAGGAAGGGGAGGAAGGGGAGGAAGGGAAGGGAGGGAGGGGAGGGGAGGGAAGGCAAGAGAAAGGGCAAGAGAAAGGGAAGGAAACAGTATTAAAAAAACGAGAACGAGGAAACCCACCTCATACTCCTCCCCCCGCGCCCTCTTACTCGGGTACCCGTCCCTCCCGCCCCCCCTCCCCTCCCTGCCCTCCCTCCCCTCCCGTGCATCCCGCCCCTCCCCGTCCTCCCCCCGCTCCCTCTCCCTTCTTCTCCCACTGCCGTTTCCATTACTCCCTCCCCCGCCCCCTCCCCCACCCCCACCGCCCGCCCCACCGCCCCCGCCCCCGCTAGAGTAAGCGTACCCCGACGAGGAGGGTAAGGGCGGGAGGGGCAGCCCGCCGAAGCCGCGGCGCGGGGGCGGCATGTACGCCGCGTCGTCGTGTGCGGGGTAGTGCGCCTCGCGGGGGCCGCCGGGGGGGTAGTACGCCGGTGCGTAGGGCGTGGGGGCGAGGAGGTGGGGCGGCGGCGCGGCGTGGTGCGCGATGTTGTGGTGCGGGCCGGGGTGGAGGACAAGCGCGTTGTGCGCTGCGGCGGAGGAGGAGAGGGGATGGGAAGAAAGGGAAGACGAGGAAGGCGGGAGGTCCGCGGCGGGGAGCGGCACGTCGACGAGCACGAGGCGCCCGCCGCCCTCGGCGACGATGCGCGCGAAGCCGAGGCGCGCGTCGGCGGCGCGCGCGTCGACGACGGCGAGGTAGGCCGCGAGCTGGGCCCAGTTGTCTGCGAGGAGGCGCGTGCCTAGAGGGGGGGGGGGGGGAAGTTAGTTAGTATGCGGTGTGCGGTGGCAGCAGGGAGGAGAGAGGGTGGCGACGAGGGGGTAGACAGAGACAGACAGAGAATGAAGAAGGGAAGAGAGAAGAGAAGAGAGAGAGAGAGACTCACGCGCAACCGCCTCGTCCCTTGCCTGCTCCGCGCGCACGGTGCGCTCGTCGAGCTGCATCAGCAGCGCGAGCGTCTCCGGCGGGAGCGTCGCCTGCGCCGCCCCCTTCCCCTTCCCTTCCTTCCCCTTCCCCATCCCTCCCCTCCCCTCCCCTGCTTCGGCGTCGGGCATCCCCTCCCCCTCGGCGTCCTGGCTCGCCTCCTGCGTCTGCGTCTGCGTCTGCGTCTCCCCCTGCTCCTGCGTCTGCGTCCCCCCCTGCTCCTGCGTCATCTCAGGCGTCTCCTGCTCCTGCTCCTGCGTCTCCCCCTGCGTCCCCATCGACCCCACAACGCGCCCAAACGTGCCCAACAGCCGTTCGGCCCGCTCCGCGCGCCGGCGCGCGCCGCCCAGCTCGTCGCGCAGCGCGTCCGCGTCCGCGAGCGCGGCGGCGAGCAGCGCCGCGAGGTGGGCTGCCGTCGTATTCGCGCTTGGGGTCGCGTTGGCGCTGGTGCTGGGGGGGTGGTCGGTGGCGGTGGCGGTGGTGGGGCGCGGGAGGGGGAGGGGGAGGGCGGGGGCGGTGTGTGTGGTGGTCGTGGTGGTCGTGCTGCTGGTGGTGGTGCCAGTGGCGGCGGGGGCGAGAGGGGCGGGGGTAGCGGCAGCAGCGGGCGACGGCGAGTCCGCGCGCTCCTCGTGCTCCTTCTTCACAGCGACGTCGGCGTCGGCGTCGGGCATGAGCTCGTCTCTCTCCGCAGCGGCGGCGGCGGCGGCGGCAGCGGCCACAAGCAGCGCGGTGTCGCGCGGCATCGTCTCGTGCGTGCGGGTGTGGGTGCGGGTGGTGTCGCGCGGAGGGGGGGGGGGGGCGGGGCAGCGGGGTTGGCGGCGGGTAAACTGGGCCCGGGTTTATAGGGACGCCCGAGGCCGACCGCGCGACTGACCGCCGTGAAAAGAAGCCAGAAGCCGCGCCGTGCGGCTCACGCTTCGCTGCAGCGTGGCACTCGCCCTTCAGGTCACGCTGTTGTCACTGTCACACGGAGGCGGGCAACTCCGCCTCCGCCGCCCACCAATAGGGTGGTATTGTATGCATCAGCGCACTGCCCGCTCGACGCGCACAGCAGCAGCAGCTAGATGGATGGGTGATGGACGCGCGGCGCGCCGGGGACGGACGGACGGACGGACGGAATGGGGAGGGGAGGGGAGGGAGGGGAAAGGTTCGAGGAAGCGCCGCGCTCCCCGGGGTCCCGCCGCCAGCGCCAACGCCACGCCAACCGCCCGAGCCCGATCCCGATTCCCGATCCCGCACGCCACGCCCACGCCCACGCCCACGCACGCCCACGCGCCACCCAATCCGCACCCGGCGCGGCTCGGTTCGCCTGCCCTACTAGTATGTACCCCTGCCCTGCCCCTGTGCGTGCGCGCGCTAATCCGCGCGATCAGCGCGCGGAGGCCACGTACGCTACGCTACGCCCGGGGCGCGGCGGCCCCAGCGCGGCGCGGCGGCATGCCCTTCGAGGCTCGCGAGTCGAGCGAACAGTGCGCTACATACCGCGCTACGTGTAACGTACGTGCTGCCAGCGCCGTGCCCGATCACGCCGCACGGCGGCGGCATGTCGTCCCCTCGGCCCTACGCCCTAATCCTGGACTCCACGCTGCATGGGGAGCCATGACGCCGACGCTGATGGGTCCGACGTCCCGCTGCCCAGGGGCTGTGCCCCCGCGTCAAGCCTTTCCCGCGATCAATCCCGCCTCGTGATAGGGGCCAGTTGGAATAGGGGTCAGTTAAACGGAATAGGGGTTGGTTAAGATGCCCCCCAGCTCAACTGATAATTATGCCGCTGCGGACACGGTACAATCTGTTACACGGGAAGCGCCGCAGCCTTCCGATTCCAATTCCAACCCAGAATTGCAGTGGCTGAGTCTCGGTGTTCGCCGGTGCGTGGCTGTTTGCTTTTCTCTTTCTTTCTTTCTTTTGCGCAGCTGTTTTAAAATGTACTATCCGGACGTACCCTAATCCTACAGTCACAGCATCGCTGTACAGCGGGGAGACGTCACTGGCAGCGCCCGGGGTGTATCGGTACACGCAGCCTCCAATCAAAGTTCTGAAGTGGTTCCATCACAGGTTGGATCCGGGGTTCAACTCGAGCTCCCCGCGGGCGCGTAGATGGGAATTGGCTCGTTTTTCTTTTTCCTGTTTTTCCGACGCGCGCCTGCCATTGATATTCGATATTCAATATTCGATATTCGATATTTAAAATATTCCACCCAGCAGCCTGCAGCGACTGGTGCAACAGATCTTCTCGAGAATCGACATCGAGGCACAACTCTACCAGGTGGCGTTATTCTGGTTCGACTGCAGTATCACGCTAAGAGTCAAGACTGGCGAAACAACTCAGCGCCCGGGGTGTAGAGGTTACACGCAGCCACCTTATCGCCAGCTCCAGGCTTCGCCGTATGGCAGGTTGAATCCGGGGTTCGACTCCCCGCGGGCGCATGTCGATGAATTCTCCATGGTTCTTTTTCGCGCAGTCTTCCGAGTCATTCAGGTTCCGGGGCCTCAATTTATCCGGGCCCATCGCGCCCTACATAGTAGCATATCATATTACCCATCCATCCTTACACCTCCCTCCGCTCCTCAAAAATCCGCTCGACTGCAGCATCGATCTCACGGGAAACCTGGCGAATCAACCCAGCGCCCGGGGTGTAGGGGTAACACGCAGCCACCTTATCGCCAGCTCCAGGATTCTACGGCAGGTTGTATCCGGGGTTCGACTCCCCGCGGGCGCATCGATGAATTGTGGATTTTTTTCGCGCAGGACCGCAGGTTGAAGGTTCCGGGGGACCTGAATTGATCTGGAGCCCGACTCCCCCCTACATATGATATAACATTCTATTCAGCATCCTTCTGGCACACCCGCTCCTCAAAAATCCGCTCGACTGCAGTCTGCACTATCACGCTACAACCGAGGACCCTCTCAGCGCCCGGGGTGTAGGGGTAACACGCAGCCACTAGTTGCTCTCGAGTCCCCGTGGAGGTTGCAGGTTGAATCCGGGGTTCGACTCCCCGCGGGCGCGTATTTGGGTATCATGCTTTGCTTTTTTTCGTGGCGTTCAGTTCGATGAATTCTCCATGGTTTTCTTTCGCGCAGTCTTCCGACTCGCCGAGTCCGAATACATCATCCAAGCCCGACTGCCGCGCCCTATATATCATATTACCCATCCATCCTTACACCTCCAGGCGCCCCCAAAAAAATCTGGTTCGAGTGCACCATCACGGTAAGACTCACGAATGAACCCAGCGCCCGGGGTGTAGGGGTAACACCCAGCCACCGATTACCGCCAGCTCCAGCCTTCTACGGCAGGTTGCATCCGGGGTTCGACTCCCCGCGGGCGCGTATTCGGGTATGCTTTCCTTTTTTGTTCGTGCCGCCCAAAATTTCGTGGGGGATTCAAGATTGCCTCCGAGTCCGGGCCGCGTTTTCGATCGCGATTCAAAGCAGAGAGTGGTTCTGTGTAGGAAGCTTGTCGATAGCTGAGACACGACTGTTGACTGTTGACTTTGGATACGACAGGCTGGATTCGGGCCTAGTAACGATACCGTAATTCAGCGCCTGGATCCATGGAGTGTATTGGGATTACTTACACATGGTTGTACAACTGCATACTAATGCATTGAACGGGTTGGATTCAATTTAAAGGTTCGACGCCCTGCGGGTGTGTAAACGAGTCACTGGCAGATTTTCTTGCTTCTTTGCCTGCCCTTTCTGTTCCCGGGCCCTTTTATTCAATCTTACGACAGGCTGGATTCGGGCCTAAACATACCTCTATTCAGCGCCCGGAGTGTATCGGTATACCTGGTTCTTCCAAATGCTACATTGAACGGGTTGGATCCAGGCCTACGTACATATATGCCGGGTTCGACCCCGGCGGGCGCATGTTACAGCAATGGTCAATCACGTTTTGCCTCGCAGCCCTCCGTTAAAAAAAAGTTCTTGACCTCACTAAGACTTGTACAAAATCCAGATGCACACCTCAAAAGTCCAAAGTCCGAACGACATGAAGGTTAGAGACAAGAGGCTTTGTTTGGCTCTGTGATTGGCAATCAATACTATTGACACTCTCTCTTGATCTCTCACCACCATCTCAGATTGACGAAAAAACTGGGAACTAGTGCTAGGGCTCCAGCAGCTTTTCAAGAGTCAAGGCATTCGCTGCCCAACTGCCTATGGAACCCATCCCACAAGGCATTCGTCGACGGCGACCGCGACCGCCCTGCGGGTCGCCTGTTTCATCCGGGCCCAAACATCCCTTGTCCGAACCTTGCTTCAAAGTTCAAACACCTTTCTCCGGCGCGGCTAAACCCTGCCGTGCCATCGGCGGCCGTTCTGCGCGACGCTATTGCCCAGATGCCGGGACGTGGTCCCGCCCCTGCTTCGGCGGATCTATGTATGGCGCGCGCTGCCCCGCCAATCACGTTGCGGCCGTTTCACGCACCATCAGCGACCAGGTCCATCGCCCGCAGTCCCGCCACCCGCTGACACCTGCTTCATCCGGGCTCATCTTGGGCTCATCCTTGTCCCCGATAATCGATTCCCGCGGCCCCCCACCGTTGTCAACAAGAGGTGCTTGATCGGCCGATTCTGGCCTTTGATGTGGCCACGCGAGCACATCCGGCAATGTCCGAAAACTCAGCCAAATATTCAGAGGAAGCTGAATGGAAATGAGGACCATGCAGAATGTGTGTGATTCACACCTGGACTGCTCCCAACCCTGTCGAGCTCACATAGAACGATAGGGTATGTTGCCGGGACTTACGCCGATGTTTGTGTCAGCCAAACACTTTCCTTATTCGGGGGGTAGGGTACCCCGTGGGAACGTTGGCCAAGATCCGCAGATCGCGCACCTCTTGGTTGTCAATGTCAGCTCTTGTCGCGGCGGCCCGCCCAATGGCGGATAGTATCGATGCTTGGTGGGCGACGCGCAGCATGGGCCGCCCGCGCTCCTGATAGCCGCCAGAGCGGCCGATGTGTCGCCGCGGAGCGCGCTTCTCCGCAGCGGTGCGCGGGGTCCTTCCTAGCTTGCCAATGCCATGGCTTCCGCATCAGCTCGCGCGTTCCCCGCATTCCCGCAGCCCGCCGCGTGACGTCGACCGTCCATACTCCTCGGACACGGAGGGGAGGCATGTGGGTGGCGCACAAGCTCCGCCGTTGGGGGCTTGTGTGCCGTACCGCGGCGTTATCTCGCCCCCGCTAGCAGACAATAGAACACGTCGGGATCGATGTTGTCGAGGAGCAGAGACGCGCTATTGTTGTACTAGCCGATATCGACATCGATGTCCAGCCAGAACAATCCAGGACCACCAAACCGGCATCCTTAGCTCCTGCGACACGCACTTCTTACTCATTCACTTGTGTATGCTCTGAGTCTTTGATCTTCAAGTTGACATTTGGCTCTTCGTCGACTGAGCCATTTTCCCGTCGCTCACCCTCGACTCTCGCTGCGAGCTGTGAACGAACCAGCGCAATCGATATCAGCACATATATCGTACGTAAATATGGCTTATCTCAACATGCAAACTAACACTGTACCAGACCTGATACTGGGTCGCCGTCGCGCAAATACCCTCGGTCACTGCAGGTCTTGTGTCGACGGTGTATGCTTCACTTTGACATACAAACCAACCTTGCAATTATTAGAGCTGATCCTGGGTCTCCATCGTGCAAATATATTCTCTCAATCACTTGCAAGTCCTGTGTCAACGGCTCTCGTCTTGTGTCATACTTAAGCTACTTGAGCAACGTTGCCACCACGGAGACGCGGTTCAACAATTCATGCTGAACTCGATACGCCGACTTCATAGGAACTCGATACGCCCACTTCATAGGATCCTTCGATTAGATACATGCACATGCCCTGGTAGTTGACGCAACGATGTTCATGAGTCTAAGAGCGCTAACTGCAAGGTTTTGGTCTGACTACCGCCTGCGTTTTCTCTAGCGATGGGCGCTGGCTTCTCGATAGATGACAGATATTCAGGCCCCCTGATTGCAAAACCTACGAAGGGCGAGTCGGCGACTGGTTAGAATAACAACCTGGCCCTGATTTTCCTATGTTCGAGGATAGGTTATTACCGACTCCGCCAGACATCCGATTCTCGGACAGCAGCTGGGAAGAAGGTCGGTTTTGGATCTGCCCCATTCGCTCCGATTCATCGGAGTTGCGGATGAGAGGCTACGGAAACCAGCTGTAGATGGATGGATTCTGACTGACACCGGTTGGAATAGTTACAGTTGCTCGTTGGCCTGGGTGATATTATATCACCCAGGCCAACGAGCAATGGGATGGGAGAAGTTCCTGCTGAGATTTCAGGTAATGGTAATGGAAGCAGACACGCTCAGCACAACTGCGCCAAAGTAAGTATTCCTGGGTTCCTGATGATCGCTGCAAGCGGAACATAGGAGGTTGCGAACCAGTCCAGGAAGACCGCAGAGAAGGCGACTCAGACCCCTCGTGATGGAAGAGGCCAAATCCCTAAATCATAAGCTGCAGAATACAGGATGCGGCGAGAAAGTCAAGGAGGTCCTGTTCAACTATGTAGGATTCGTTGAGGAAATTTTTCTTCAAAAAGCGGTCGTCGCCGGCTTCGAACACAAGGCCCATCAATTCCGCTCTCGCCGGAGTGGCCGGCCGGCCCGCTCGGTACCGATCAAAATTCTCGTCCTCCTCCACCGTCACGACAACAAGACGAATCTGAAGGACGATCCACCCTCTACAACCCCGCTGAAGTCAAAATGGACGCGGCTTTCCAGCTTCCAGGGCCACGTCTCTGTGTCAATCAAGCCGGTCCCTCAGGCTGCGCCACAATGCTGACGACTCAGCTCCACTCAAAGACGAGCGAGTCAAGCCCTTCGAGGTTCGAACTCGCAGAAGCTGCTTTTGAAGGGTCCCTCGGCGAGCTGCCACCTCTCTACTGGTCAAACCCTGGACAGTCAAGACCTCCTGGCACTTCTATCATTCATACTCATTTCGGCTTGTGAACCCTCCGAGGTCGATCCCGCTGGCATATCGGAAGCGCAGGCTCCATTGAAGAGTGCTGAAGCTTGGAGCTCACTTTCTTTTGTGCAATAATGTTCTCTCGCAACCTAGAAGGCCTCCCCGCAAACATAGCCGGCTCGTCAAGATCCAGTAAGACTTCTTCAGCTCGTCGGAATAAAACTTGTAGGCAGCGCGGGGACATGCGCATAGTTGGTTTGCTTAAAGCACGCGCGTACGCAATCGCGTGCCGTCTGGCCCGCTAGGCACCGCGGCGTCTGTCTTACATGACGGGTGGGTGAGCGGCGTGCAGAAGTCACCGTCGAACAGGATATGGTCCACATCAAGTAGGCCGCTGTCGCCGACGTAAGTAAAGCAAGGGGTGTGTATTCAGTCTATCATCCCCTCAACTGATACATCTAACGCGCTTTCAGCCGCTTTGAATGGCCGAAGTGTGATTTGTTCATTCGCTTGCCGTATATCCATCCTCCTTTCGCTGTTTCAACTTCTGTGCCTGTCTTGTTGCGGACCCTGACCCTAGTGTTCAAGCATCCCTTGCACCCTGGTCCGATCTCTGCCGGTGGCGACATCCCGCGCATATACCGTGCAACAGTCCCGGCGCGGTCTACTTGGGGTGTCGCCGCAATTCATATTCCTGCCCAGTCTCACGCCGGTATACTCACCTCGCTTAGTTCCATTCAAAATCTCAAGCAGCCCAGCTGATCGCCGCCGCTGTGCTCTGTATAAAATGAATGGGGCGCGGCTTTTCTGCTGCCAGTCGACGAGATACGCACGGCTTTCCAGGAAGAATGCTGCTCCTCTCGATCGTAGCTTTGACATTACTCTCTAACGTGCTGGCCGACCAGAAGGTCTTCAACCTCGATATCGTGAATGTCGAGCTGGCTCCCGATGGATTCAAGCGCAGGTATTTGCCTTTCACCAAGCTCCCCGACATGTGCTAACTGTGTGTTCAGCACCGTCGTTCCCAACGGAACGTTCCCTGGGCCTACATTCAAGCTCAACAAGGGCGATTCAGTCGTTATCCACACCCACAATAAGGTCTACCCCGGGCACCTATCCATATGTTTTTCCTGACCTTGTACCATCCAGTTAACGGATCCGGACATGCGGAGAAGTACCTCGATTGTAAGCAATTGAATATTTAAGCATTCATCTCGCTGACTCCGCCCTTCAGCACTGGCACGGTTTCTTCCAGGCGCGCACTTCAAGCATGGATGGGCCTTCGTCAGTACCAGTGTCTTCAGATATCGGGAACAGGTGCCTGATCACCGAGTGTTGGCCTCAGCTTCGTCAACCAGGTTCGTGTGAAGAGCCTTCTAATACGAGGCAATTTGTGTGACTC